CGTATATACACACGTTATAGGCCTTTGTATGTTAGACATGGTAAACTGTTTTGTTTCTACATGTAAAGTGCATTTGCCAGTTCCGTTGTTTAGTCAGTCAGACCTCCAACAAGGGACATTTTGACAACAAGACGGCATTCTTTGGGGGATGTAAAGGACTGTCTTATGCACAACAAATCAAGTGCACGGAAGATGAGCTGGCGGGTAGGCAGATTTCGCAGCAAGAAACGAGGTTATTTCGTCTGTTGGAAAGCAGTAGCAATGTGTGCAAGGGAATGACACATTGTGCATGTGTATGGCAAGTCGGCAGAGGTTTATGTAATGGAGATAGCAATTGGTGAAAGGCCTTTTGTCTATGTACCTCCAGGAGGTTCGACTGTTATCAGAGGTTCGACTGTAGTTATCGCCATGCTATCCGCACAAGTTCTTTATCATAAAGTCACGATAAAGAAATAATCTTTACATAGTTCACACTATCACAAACTAAACGTACACAGTACATAGCACACCAGAAGCATGTTTGCAAAACAGCACCGAAACCAGTGCTCCATGCTGTCGTGATTGCACTGGTTTTCCCTTCTGGCGACTATGAATAACATCTGCATGCGCTCTTACATCTGAAAGTGGATAAGACCAAGATACTGTAACTAGTAGACTCTCACCCATTGTTAGTCTTCCACCTCTCCAATGGCATACTGGGTCATCATTGCTCTGGCACTGGACGTGTGGCCTATGTCCTCAAACAACTCACTGCCATCTCCTCCTGCAGGTCATAGTTGTAAGAATATGCAAGTTAGATTTTTGGACTGACTACCCTTAGATGTACTGCTCCTACATACCAGCAACATCTAGCAGAATGTCCGGACCTCCTGGATGCTGAAAGCAGCAGCAGGCAGTCACTGCCAGTCAGTCAGTCAAAGCATTCTGTGGCTCACCTCGCTCACAAAAGCAGTCAGATCGTACACCTTTCCATGTATGACTACCCAACACGAGGATATGTCGGCGTGTTTCTCGATCTCGCTCCACGGAAGCTGCTGTGACATCTGTCTGGGAGGCCTCTGGCTCTGACTTCGCCCATAGATAAAGGAATGGCTAGGGCTTCGGTGGGCTTCGAGGGGTGAATTCCAATTAGCGCCCCCAGCTCTCGTTTATACGCCCACAAACGTAATAGTGACTGGATGAGCAGTAGTAAGTGATCAAGACTCGTGTACAGAGGTATTCTGGCTGCACTGACCTCTGCCAGGAGCCGTGGACGCCAGAGCATGGCCGCAGGGAGCAGCAGCGAGGCCTCTCTCCCCGAGCTCCTGTCTCTGCTCACCGGCAAGGAGTTTGACACTGTGAGGCCAAACCCATGGCAGTGCATGGAGGAAGCTATTCCCGTCACACTGTATATAATATAATTGTTGGAGGAGGTGTACAGAGCTATGAAGACCTCTTGGCTTACTCCAGATGAGGTCGAAAGCAACTCGGTTATTCTTCAGAGAAGAAGTCATGGGCTTAGTTGATTGTATAACTCATCTTTCCTTCACCTGGTAATGTGCTAGCATGTGAAAGCATGAAGAACACACCGTGTTGGTGGTCGTAGCTACACACAGTACCTTTGATTGCAGGATTATGTGTAGGACCAGCTCTCAGTCAGACAAACTGCTCCTTAGCTGCCAGCTAGAGCCTTTGTTCCTTCATGGGCTAATGTAGAGTCTGCGAATGAGCTCTCGCCACGTGTGAGACACTTGCCATGAGTGGTGTGAGGTCCTACAGAAATTGAAACACAAGGACTCCCCTTACTAAGTAGTCTTTACCATGCACATGAGGAGGTAATGCCTTGTCTGTGTATGCATACTTTTCTATGGTGTGTGTGTGTGTCTGTCTCTATTCATGCTTGTACTGTCTTTGTGCAAAGGACACATGTACGACACCCACCAGAGCAATTATGCTAAGTACGTATGCACACTGCTGCACACCCCATAAGCGTGTTAGTATAACCGTACAATTAAATACATACAGATTGTGTACAGACAAGAGAGATTGTGTTGAATTGGATATTGCTCCCACTCTTGTGCAGGCACACAGGCACAAGCTAAGGGAACTGTTGAGGTGTTTTCTACTCACATGTGCAAGTGGACGTGGAGTAGCAGAGTGCTTCCCTTCCAGGTATGTATGTATTCCAGGTATTGTCAGATGGTGTTAAGTAATAGTGCCACAGGTGCCCTTTGATGTACTTTACATACAAGAGGTATACATAATAATGTCAAAGGGTGCAGTCGGGCTATAGTGCTTGGTCTGAGGGATGCTGTGGACATGGTGTAGTCCCTAAAGACTGTGTATAGAGTGTGAATGTGAGGTATGGTCTGTGGCGGTAGAGGGGGACACGTTTGCACACAACCACAAGAACACATTCTTTCAGCCATGCTCGCATTATTGCATCATATCACTAGTACATAAGCGAATACAGGGCATGCTTGAGCAAAGAGGGGCAGTACTGCAAAAATTTTCGAACACCATTTCACGTACAAATCCAGGCGCATATGGAGTCAGAGGACGAACACTCGTAGACATAGTATATTGATGTAAACACATAAAATGGAGTCGTTCTAACCACTGGTTAGCTCACAGGATGTTATTGTCCATTCTCTGTCCTCAGCAACCCCCACTCAGTGAGCAGTCTCCTGGTTCAGAAACTCTTGCACCAGTTCCAACGAGCATTCCTGGCCACCCCCTCCTCCGACCAGTTGACGACATCATCACGACACCATCCTCCTGGTGTGGCTGGTGGTGTTGTGGACCAGGTGTCCCTCAGAGAGTTTCTGCAGGAGGAGACGATATTATTTCTCCTCCTCTCCATCCATACCATCAGCAGACAGGTATAATGGACATGTAGATATGGACATATGGACATACACATACGTTGGCAGATTGGGAATGGCAGTTAACTGGAACCTTGTTGGCAGCACTATAGAGCATGATACTACTTGTACGGGACAGCAGTACACTGTGTTGTGCATGTGTAGCACCTGTTACGTGTGAGATGGGCAACACTCACATAGTAACATAATGATTGGAAACTGTCGGTGGATAAAACCAATTTAATGCTGGATGACCAGCAATGCATCCCATTTGCAAATATACCGTGTTACTCCAGAGAGACTGTCCTCGTTTTTTGCTAGTGGGGGCGTAGTTTTTTATTCTGCATAATTGAGGGTATAATTATACATCCATTTTTTATAGTAAAAGTATTGTGGGGATGGTTGGTTTGTCATTTCGTTTACTGACGGTGCCTGCAAAAATGCAAAACCGTTCAAACCGCTTTTTGAGGGAGAAAGCTACCCTGCTAAGTGGTATTCGAGGAAGTTCAATAGAGGCAAGATATAGTGTTGCTATTCCACCCTCTACCTATAGTCAAAGTATAAGGGATTGTTGGTTTGCTACTTCTTTTACTCATGTGCTTGCAAAAAATGCAAAACTGTTCTAACCATAAGGCATTGTAAAGCACTATACATTTTCATAGAGGCGAGATTATTTCCACCCTCTAAACTATAGTAAAAGTATTTATTAGCGATGGCTGGTTTGTCATTCTTTTACTCACGTGCCTGCAAAACTGTTCAAACCCTGACGGGATAATGGCAAAAATTACCCGCTATACAGTATTTGTAAAATTTCAACAGAGGAAAGATAGTTGCTATTCCATCCTCCAACTATAGTCGACGTATAGGGGGTGGTTGTTGTGTCATTTCGATTACCCACAGGCCTGCAAAAAAATGCAAAACCGTTTACACCCTAAGGCCTTTTGGGGAAAGTTACCCGCTATATGGTATTCTGCATTTGAGAAACATTGTAGTAACATTGAGATAGTTTTCCCGTGGGCTAAGCTGTAGTTTGTTTCAGTGTTATGATGAGTGTGATGCTGTTTAAACTGTCAAACTAATTAGGTAGGAGTTTAATCAGTGGCCCACAGTTAGGTACATGTGTACATATGTATGTGGCCCACAGTCAGTAGACGTACGTGATGTGCAGGTGGAGGCGACCTACCCTGAGCTGGCCGAGCTACTGCTGGTGGTAATCAAGACCCTCCTCTCCAGAGATCCTCAATTCACTGTCAGCCAAGGTGTGTGTGTGTGTGTGTGCATCATTTGAAACACTGATACACCAGAATTACATTATTTTCTTAAGAGCAAAGTGACCGTTGAACTGCTGTGTTTGATGTTGGCGTTAGTACGAAAAACTGTGCGATTCAGATGACTAGGTTGGCTTGCTTCACTTGCTAATTATAGATGCATACTATAGGTCCTTGACCAGTAATAGCTTATTGGTTCAAATTTACCTATGTACATGAAAACTAAACAGCTCACGCTTTCACATGTAGAAAGTAGAAAACAAGAGAGAGAGAGAGGGGGGGAGGAGGAGGATGTGCCATATATAGAGATTGGGGGTTGTGTTACCACAAGTACCAGTATGTGGGTGCATGGATAGCTTGGTTGTCAACAATCATGCCCAGTACATGACATTCTATCCTCCCTCTCTTCAGGAACTGTGCTCGACTCGGTTCCCTCTACAGAGTGGTGGGGATTGAGTCTCAGAGCTTCTCCTCCAGAATCACCAGCAAACCAATCACCTCTTCCTCCCCTGAGAAAATTGCTCGAGATGAGAATAACTCTCCTCTCACCTCTACTCCTTCTTCCTCGTCGCCTTCACCCACCTCATGTGCCACAGAGTCTCCAGCTACAGTCATCCCACCTTCAGCCTCGAGAAGACTCCTGGCAACAGTCGTTAGAGAGATAGAACCAGGGGGCAGTGAGGGAGAAGGAGAGGCGGAGGTTTTGTCAGACGAGACGCTCCATCTTCTCTTGCTGGCCGCTCTGGAGGGTGTGGCCACCCAGAGAGGGACCCGCACCGCTGCCCAACTAGGCTCCACCCTCCGTCTCCTGTCGGGGCTCACCTCTCTCTTTGAGGAGGCCGTCGGGCTGTGGCTGAAGCTCCACAATCAGACCACCAGCGACGAGACCACCAGTGTTCACTCTGGTGACAGTGGTGGAGCTACCTCCGTTCTTGTCAACAGAGAGGTGTCCCCCTCCTCGTACCAGGGTGTGGTCCACATGGCACGGACGGGACTCCGCCTGTGGCTGATCCTCTCCTCAGACGTCCTCTGTTCAAACCTCTCGGCACAGCAGGTGTCCGAAGTTAGATCCCTCCTCTCCTCCCCGGTCCTCACCATCTCCCGTGCCTGCTACAACCTCCGCCACGTCGGCCTCTTCTGTGGTAACGAGTGTCTCGACCAGGAGTTTACCCTCATGATCCTGGAATCCTCCCTGGCATGTCTACATGTGGCTAACCTTCTCGCTGGTGTGACTACCTGCCCCGGTGAAGACGTGGTCCAGGTATTCGGGGAGTGCCTCTCGGACGGTTTCCACGAGTGGTTCACCTACCTCTGCTCCAAGCTGCACGCCCTCACAGAGAGCGGTGGAACTACCGAGACTGCATCTTCCAACTGGGACCAGGTGACAGGGACCAGCCACAGTCTCCTGGCAGGGATTCTAGGAGAGTTGGTTATCAGTGCCGACCACATCAGGACGCTGCAGAGGGCCGCCAAGTCGGCTCTGTCGGGAGAGACAGTCCTCCGTCCGATTACTTACACCGTGGCTCTCGCCCGAGACTTTGACCGGCTCACGCTGCGGATGAGCAAGCTGGCCAACATTGTCCTCAACTGCTTCAAGCAGGTGTCTTCGCTCCAGCTACTGTCGCTGCAGCTCCTCTCCGAGACGGCCAGCGACACTGTCGAAATCATCGGCAACTTCCTCGGGAGCATCCTCGACCCTGTCATCAGAGCCAATTCCGAAGTCCTCGACCACTATCTGGAGCTGTTGGAGAACGTCTGGTTCCGTCTGTCCCCCGACTATTCCGGCTCGGCTCCTCTCTGGAAGAAACTGACCAACTACTTCACTCTCCTCCGGGACACGAGTCGTGGAGTGTTACACCAGGTCCTCTATCATCTCCAGTGCCTCTTCAGTCACGACTCACTCACGCTCAAGTCACAGCTCACGGTCCACGTGGTCCTCCCCATGCACACCCACCTCATATCCACCGTGAGGGAAAAGGTGTACGGGAACCAGACGTCGTCCGGGGAGAAATCCGGGCATATTGCCCGAGCCGACGTGGAGTGGAGCAAAGGCCTTGAGACTGCCTTGTGCGAGGAGGAGAGGACACTGGTATCTCTGTACCTGAAGCTGCTGTTGAAGGTGGCTTCTCACCCTAGCAGTCTACAGGCATTTATCTCAGACACTAGCCATCTGTACTCCCTTTTTCTCCTCCTTCCCCTTCCCTCCTTCTGCTCTCCGACCCTCGCTGTCGCAGAGCAGTGCTTCAAGACCCTCCAAAAACCCTCCCCACCCTTCCCCTTCCTCTTTGTCTGGGGACTCTGAAAGTAGTGGAGTCCCCAGCTCCGAAACCCAAAGACGCTCCTCAAGATATTCCTCAAGCTGGGGTTCTCAATGCCAGTGGACCAGCTGATGAACCTCTGCCTCGCCATAGCCGACGGGAAAGTGTCTCTCGGTACGTTTCACTTTAACGAGGTGGACGTTCTTCACAAGAGGCTTCAGGATATCTACGAGGCAGCCCCGCTCAGCAGTCTGCTGGCAGCCCAGTTCCTCAACCACATGAGCATCATTCGTGACATGTGGGAGATTCTGGCCCGCCTCTCTCCCTGCGGAGGACCTCTCGTCCTCGCCGTACTCCGTGACAACTCTGTGAGGGATTTCGTTGTCAGTTTCTCGCCGATCCTGGGAACTCTGCTGGCGAGGGTGGGGCAGCAGGTGGAGGGCGGGGCACTGGAGGGCGGAGACACTGCCGTGTGCTCCCTCCAGGAGCTGGCTGTGGCTCTCCTGGCCAGCCTCGTGTCTGTCGCCCACTTCCTCTTCTGGCAGAAAGGAGAAGCCACGGTATGTTTACGATTTCATAGCGGGAAACTTTGGCAAGAGATAAGTTTTGCTGTTTCACAATTAATGTTCACCTCGTGAAAACTCACTCTTTCCTTAAAGTACCGTGTACTCACTGTTACCGTAAAGTACCTTGTCCTGGGTGTAGTTGACTTGTTTGTTGTGCCTTTGCCTTTCTACCTCGTAGTTTACACATGAGGTTTAGCACTTGTAAAAGCAATATAATGTCGCAACTTTCGCAGGTTAATATATATATAGCTATCTGCAAAGTTGTAGGCAGGGTCCTATGTATGTATTGCTGAACATTTGTGAAAAGCTAAAGTTATCTCTCTCCAAATTTTCCCAATACAGTACCTTGTGCTAAACCTCATGAAGTTTTGCACTTAGTGTAAAGTTTTGTATAATGTTGCAGTACCCAGACAGGACAACATGAGCCCTGTAAGGGCAAATGCTGTCCTGTCTGGGTACTGCAACAGATTTGTTGGATATCCCTAGGCAACCGACATGTATGAACCCTGCTTGCACATGTAGGATTGTATAGGCTGATACAATCCCCTAGTACCTAGCTTCATACATGTCGGTTGCCTAGGGATATCCAACAAACATGCTGCACAATTTTATGGGCCAACACTCTATACATTATGTACAGCATGTGATATGTATACCCGTCACATACATACAACCAACTCCTGCAGAGTCTGGAGTGGCTATGTAGGGATATCCACACGGCCTTCTCTGGGAGGAGTCTGTGCTCCATCAGCAACAGCCCTCTCCTCCTCACCGCACTCCTCAAGGCCTCCTGCTGTCTCCAGGACTACACCACCGCACAGGACTCTCCGTCTCAGAGGCCATTCCTATCACCAGGGGGTGCCCCCTCTAATTTCCTCTCGTCTCCTCGTAGCAATGGCAGCAGTGGAGCAGTGAGGACACACAGTCGGAAGAGCAGTTTGGGAGGGGGAGGGGTGGACAATGTGGATGGGGTGGGGTCAGGGAGGGAGATGTTGGGTCGAAGTAAACCAATCCCCATCCAGCAGAGACAGCGGACGGCAAAACATGATCGGGAGTCTCTTCAATCTCAGGGTTTCTTCCCCAACAATACCTGTGGCGTGGGCAGTACCGCAAGCTACACAAGTCCCGCCAACCTCCCGCAGAGCTGGTCCGTAATTGGTAGTAACGAGAGGGACAGGATCGGGAGTGGGGGTGTGGGGAGTCGACGGCAGACCCCTCGTTCGTACCGCAGCTGGGTCATCATCCCGGAGCCGAGTGACTCCGAGCTGGAGTCGGGCTACGAAGCCGACGTGGAGAGAGGAAGCCACAACATTGAGGTGGCCGAGAGCTGTGGGGAGATGGAGGACGCTGAGTTGAGGGAGGGCGAGCTGCTACGCTCGCTCACGTCCTATTTAGTGCCCCCCGAGGTTCGGCAGAGGGTGTGGATCATGCTCCCGATATGGAACTGTATCGACCTCTTTCGAGAGAGTGTGTCCCAGGGCCTCTCGCCTCAGGGGTATGCTCTTCTCATACTTCGTTATGCTCTTTCCAATTGTTTATACACTTGTATGTGATGATCGGTACTGTTGCATGTGCAAAATCCTCAGCAAAAGATTTGTAGTATACATTATACAAGTACAGTTTCGGTCGTGATTTTTACCTTTTAGTGTCCGAGTAGAACATTTGCCATCCTTTGTTACAGGGAGAAGTGTGTGGAAGTTTACCTCTACCAGTTGTTTGCACTACTTAGAGCTGACAAGTACAACGTTGCACTCCTCTCGGGAAAGGTATTAATCAGTAGCACCACATATGCACATGTAGGTAAACTTCTGCATACTTTTTCATGTGTCATGCACATTTCTCAGGGATTGTTGGCGAAGCTGTTGGATGCTTTTGCTCCTCTCTTTAACTCAGAGTCTGAGAGATGTGTCAGTAAGTGAACTAAACTTGCACGTGAACCCTTGCACTCCTAACACAGATATGTACATACATTGTACACATTTGACACTTGTGGTAGCATACGCTTTGCATGGATGGAAGATAGATCACGTCACTAAGTAGGCCACAGGCATGTCTCAACAACTTGGTAGCGAGGTAGAAAAGCAAGGCAAGGCAAACGAGTCAACTACACCCAGGAAAGCTCTTTCTTTTCAAAGAAAAGAAGAAGAGTTGCCCTGGGTGAACCCACGACACTCTGCAGTCTAGGCGAGTGCTCTACCAACTGAGCTACCAGGGCAACTCGTAGGGGTTCGAATCTACAACACAACACAACACAAAGGCACACTTCAAACCACTGTACTATGGCACAGTAGGCTCTCACTCTCACAGGCATGCATGTATTGCATCACCAAACTATAAGCACTGTCATAGCATGGATAGCTTTTTCAGAGTTGTTAAGTTATGATGGCGCTGCAGTGTGCTGTCGGTTGGTGTGCCGTATTGCGGAGCTGGTGGGAGTCTACCAGATCTCTCCCACTGAGACCAAGAAACTCCTACTGAGAATGCAGGCCCTGCCTGTACACCTAGTGAGTGCAATACACTGAGAATGTTAGTTAGTGTCAAAATTCTATCTTTTGCTCTTCTTCAGGAACATGCTCCAGAGTTATTGCACAACGTAGCACTGGCTACTACTCAAAGTCTTCAACTTTCATCATTTATCGAGTTCAGCTACCCTAGACCACTCCAGGTACAATGCGTACTCAATTCACTCTATCTCCAACTTGGTGACAGAGCACTACAGTATGTCTAAGGGTCTCCTCAATGCTATACACACAGTTGGTGTACATATACACACTGTAAGGGTGTTCTCAGTGTCATGTTGTACTAATAGTTCAATGCTACGTACATACACACGTATTTCATTTCCTTGAACTACCATTTTCTTGAACTACCGCAAGAGTCTAATGAAATTGCTGGTTCAATTTCTATGGATGGGTATTGTTATGTATTTACACACGCAATTCTTAAACTTCTGCCAAGGGTTTGCACTTTAGTGTTTTTCATTGTACAAAACATAGTTCAAACACTCTTGACCACAAAAAGTGCAAATACAAAAAAACAATTATGAACACTCAGTTACTGTATATATGTATGATCAGAAAAAGGTATTACTGTCCATTGTTCGTGCCACTTGTTGTTTTAGGCTGAACTGTCAAGTAGACGAGCCGTTTGCTCACTGCGTTGGAGTGTCTGTGTTAGCTTATTGATTATCCTTAAGTGCAGTCTCTTCCGGATAATCACCCAGTGGAATGAAAGTCCAACAATGTAAGCAAATGGAATAAAAGCTGTTAGTATCAGTAAACTAAGATGAAACCAAAAGGAGAATGCACTAGGTCCATCGTAACCTAACACGGATATCAGCATGACGATACTGCCAAGTAGCAACCCAAACAGTAGTATCATATCCAGTTTCAGGTGGATATACTTCTTGTATGGCTGAGTCACTGCAAGTAGTGCCATGTAAAACGATATTGTAATTGTCATTAGTGTTATTACTATCCTCTGATAATTTGCTGCATAGTACACAAGAACAAGGACAAATCTCAGTAGTAGTTGTAGTCCAGCAAACCAGCGATAGTCTCTAGTACCATTAGTCCCATCCTTATAGCAGCCTTGAAATGAGTCTGCAAATATGTGCAGGGTGGTGCACTGCCACTGGCGGTCGTTCAGAAAGGTCTGAAATGATCTCAGAGGATAGAGAAAGAGGAGCAGCAGTGGAATCAGAATCAAGGCAAAACTGAGGACAAGAGCTGTCAGAGCATAGGGGAGATGGTCCCAACCAAAGTATGTCATCGTGGGGTCTGCATATGCTTTGGTGGTATAGTTTCCATAAGGGGTGAAGACACGCATGAGATGGAGAATAACTAGTGACGTGTAGCCTATTTTGATTAGAGCTAAGATGATAAATGTGGCAAAAGCATCAACCAAAGATGACTGAATATTTATTGTTTGTCTGAGTCGAGCTAGACCAAATATTACTGGTCTGCACAGACGGAATACCCTGTAGCTATTGTAAAACTTGACACTGACGTATACAAGAAACACCATAGCTAGTGGAAAAACAGCAGTCAAATATTCCATAGATGTTGCTTGCATTTTAGACATGTGAGGACTGAGACACAACTGAGGGTAAAAGGAGCGAAATATGTCAAGATTTGATAAGCCAAAGAAAGTAACAAACAGTTTCCAGCACATGTTTCGTCGATTATTGGACACATAAGATGAAACATATGACTTGTGTTCGCCTGGAACTAAGATTTCTGATACAAACTGAGGTGCAGACATGATTTGACTGACAAGAATGAAGGTGCTCATGGGAGGTCTGGCTACACTGATCCTCAGAGTGATGATTGTCAGACAGAAAACTGTCAGAGGCAGAAATGATACCAGAAACCACACAATAGAGTCTCTAACCACCTCCGGAGAACATGGAACACACTGCATACTGTAAGAGTAAACAGGAAGTCCATGACCATCTATACATTGAGCACACAGACGTCCAGTTCTCTTCCATGTCTCAGTACACTGGTGATAGTTGAGCTGACTTTCATTCTGATACCAATGAACTGGAACTACACAGCTGTATGGACAACCACCTACTGCAGACTCTCCTGTATGACTATCAACAGTGATACAATAACACCGCGAAAGTTGAACACTCGCTGGATCATCTTGGCAAGATACAATACCACCAAGTGAACTTCCACACATACAACTATTGTTTCTCCACACGAACCATGGCTTTGAACAGGTCCTGTTGTTGGTGTTTGGTAAACTCGGCCCTCCTTGTCCAGTTGCTGAATAAACCAATGCTAGTCCAGTGAGTAACAGCAACTCTGAGCACATCATTCCGTACAAACGCATCTTTCAAGGTTATTTTAGTCATACCCTTTATTCCTGGTCTCTTATATTCTCTAGCTTGCTGTTTGCACACACAGACTGCATTCAGTTTCTACTAACCATAGTAGTGCACACTGTGACCTAACACGAAAGGTGTTGAGTAAATACTTTTTCAGAGTGCAGTTCCTAACATGAAAGTTAATTGTTGGGTAGATAAGGTTAATTCTTTTTCAGAGCCTCAGTAGAGAAACTATGTTGTTAAATGCACAGATTTATCCCTTTTTTACCTAGAAATTTTAAAATAGCCTCTATTCATCCTTATACCAGAGTTGTGTCGGTAAAAGTGAAGCAATAATTTCAGACGTATCACGTTTGCTTAAATCAAATCAAACAAGTGGTGGTATGCTTGCATACCTCCAGACCAACCATAGTGCATGCAGTACACATCTCTTATCTGGCATGGTAATAATGTCTTTGCACCTATAGTCTTTCTACACACGGTCTTTCTCATGTTGAAAGTAACACAGTCCAAGAAATTGTGGAGCGATTGCTTGGATTCTGGCAATGTAAATATTTGCGCAACTGTTGTTACCACAACTTTTTACATTTCCTTAAGTGAATTCTACACCCCTCAATACATGGATTACATGAAGCTAATGATGCACACATACACAAATATTTCTATGCAGTGTATTTCTTGACCTTGCAATTCTCGTTACAGTTTCTGGTAGCCAGTACGTGCTTTGGGGAAATAGCGTTTCACGTGTTTGCTATGTCATTCAGTGCCACTCTGTAATCTGCAGAATTAAAATGACGCACAGACCCATATCTTGTCTTGATACGATGCATTAGTGTGTAGACAGCCCAGGTGAGCACAAAGGCATGAGGCAGTGTAGTGGCGGTGATAAACACCAGTTCCAGGGTCTCTGTGGGAGTTCCTGGTGAACTCATCCATAGATGTCGTCCGACGAAGATCATGAAAATTATGAAGGCATGAAAACAGATGGAAATGTTTGCAATGGCTAGTTTGCATGGCTGTGTGCATGCCACAAACAACACCCACAGTACTGCATATATAATGCTTGAAATAGTCCAAGGAAAACCAAGGTCAAGTGTCACCACTGCGTAGATCAAGTTAAGAAGTGGAAAGATAAAAAACAGTCCCGCAAATGCTCTATAGTCACGAGTTCCATTCAGACCATCTTTGAAACAGCTGTGGAGAGCCTCAGCAAATGCTGTGATGGCCAGTCTCTTTCCTGGCACTCAGACATCTTGATAGGCACCTGCTGTATATCCTAGTGGGGATATATGGTGAGCAGCACTGACGGTAGTAGTGTCAGAAAGAGATAAGGAATTGAGGCAATGAGTAAATACCGGATGTGTGGACCAAGCCACTCTGTGTATGTAGGACCAAACCACTCTGGGTGTGTAGGACCAAGCCACTCTGTGTATGGATCGTAAAACAGAACGTGTTCGTAATGACTAAAATTGTTTCTGTATATTGTTGTGCCTAATGCAATATTGCTTAATATCAAAGAAACGCCAGTGTTTGAGAGGAAGATGATTGATGCAAATGCGTGAATAACGGCATCACTGGTCACTCCAGTAAAGTTGGTCTTGTTGAGGATGATTCTGAATGGCTTCCAGAGAATGTGAAGGATTCTGCAGTTCCTTGCATGTAGCTCCATGAAAGAACAAGTAACGATTACAAGAATAACTGGATAAGTGGCTGACACTAAACTAAGCATCTGAATTTGAACACCAGTTAGTTTTTCGCTGATACAAAATGGCGGGATGACAGACTGTAAGAATTGAAAGCTCCACAACTGAAACAGAGTCAGTGTGAGTTTAAACATCAATCTGAACGATGTTGACGCATGTGATTTAAAGTAATAAAACTTGTTCTGTTGCCATAGAGAGAAATTCTGACAGAATACCAGATATCCTAATAGAGGACCTGATGTAATGTTCAAACGGAACACAATAAGAACGATGAATAGCACAGTTATTGGGCAAAGTTCAAGTAACAAGTAGAGGGTAACGGCATACCCCGGAGACATAATTGAACAATCAGCACATTTCATATCAAATGAGTAAACTGTAGGACCATACCCTTCAATACACTCTCCACACAGCAAACCCTTTCTCTTGTAAGGCCCACACATGACATCATCCAACATGTCAGGATCAGTGGGCATCTCTGCCAACATTCTGTTGGTTCTGTTGACTGGGTGTCCAAATGGACAATATGCGAGGAAGTACTGACCACCCTCTCCTGAGGATGTTGCACAGTAATTGTCTTGGATCATCACCTGGTCCTTGTCACAGCGTAGCCCGTAGCCACACTTGCACTGTCGCGTGGCATTGTTGTAGAACTTCCATGTTGGACAGCTGGTGTTAGTAGCTGATGCTGGGGTCAACTGTAGCACAGCAATCACGATGAGAATGGTGCAGCAATAGCAAGTAGCCTCGAATAAACCCATTGTACGAGCACCACTACTCAGAAGCTCCTCGCTGCTCATGTACTTATATCCTACCAGCTGTGGTTTTGTTATCCCCTACTTCGCAATAATCTGCAGTTGGGATAAACGGAAATTCTTTAAGACTCCAGTTTCATAACCATTTTCAGTAGGTGCCCAGTGCAGTATGACATGTGGTCTGCATAAGATCCAGCTTAGTAGTGCCATTGCACAAACATACCTTGCGGTTTCAATTCAGGCATGTTCCACTCTTGTTTTTGGTCAATCTATGCGAAACATAATCACATACGTACTATTATAGCTGTGAGAAAAGCTCAACACTGTGTCTGGCTTCATGCACACACACTCCTGCGTATTGTTGTAATTGACCACACCTACTTGTCAGTTCATTGTTTCTGGCCCATTTATAGAGTACTGCCATCCTTACATAGCAAAACCTCAGCTGTTATACCATGCATTATTGTATGGCTCGTGTCAATCTACCCAATGACTGCCGCACACCCTCTCTCTCTCTCCCTTATGCTTACATAGCAACTGGACAAGCACCACATAATGTCGGTTCCAATGATGATGTCGTGGGGGGCGGAGTCTCGTGCCATCTCCATGTGGTTCCAGGTATCCAAGTACCCGCTGCAAGCCTTCCTCCACCTACTGTCAGTCTACTCTGGGGAGACCTACATTCAGGTCTGGGCCTGTGCCTGCACTGGGGACATCATCATTCGGTGAGACCGAGGGATTGAAGACTCAAACCGTGTGGTACTACCTATAGAGCCTTCTTGTTCTCCATATGCAGTTACATATAAAGACGAACTGTTCTTAACACATAACTGACTTTCAGGTCGAGAAGGCGGTATTCACTGTTAATGGACAATAGTATCTAAACTAACAGCTCACGCTATAGGCTGGTGGCATATAGGGCTTTAATAGGACTTCATACAGGCTTACTCATGTAGGACTAGCAACACATGCGCGAGCTACATGTACAGGTATCCCCATACCATTAGCCAAAACAGTCAATGGGTGAACATTTTTACGTTTAAAGTAACTACATTGGGTAGTAATTACTATGCGAGCCCGGGCATGTACCCATCAATGCTTGGTTGTGAGCATACAATCATGTGTAATGTGTAATTACATATGTTCCTAACATTTGTGCAGGTTGTCTTCGTGTCTGCAGTTGGACTGCCTGGCTGAGGGAGATGCCTACACCAGGACTCTGGGCAGCATCATCACACCTGGCAAGTGGCACCACATCACCATCAGCATCCTCCCTGCCAATATGAAACCTCACTATAAGGTTGGAGTGATGCACAGAGACTGATCAGATGTAGCTATAGTGGGTTACTTTGTTCGGTAAAGTGTTTCGTGGCCTACCTAACAACCATATTGCATGTACATGTAACCGAATGCACAGCATTTCTGTATGGTAAAATCCTTGGAATCACACCTTTGTCCAGTTGTTTTCCCCCTCAAACATTGTCAAACTCAACTTTATGATTGAGAACTTTTGTCATTATGTATGTCCATGGGTAATGTAAGCTAAGCACTGGTACGGGTAGCTTTCCTCGCTGATCCACAACCATGGGGTAATGGAGTAACATTTTGACATTGCTAAAGGAGTAATGCGTCACCCTGCTAACGAAGTAATGTCTGCTTCTTCAACCACCATTCTCTGTCCGTGTAGCTACTGGTGATAGTGAACGGGAAGGACTCGTTCACCTTTGACATCCCGCTACCGTCTGGTCCCACCACGGCCTCCAAGTGGCAGTACTACCTGGCAGGGGGTGCAGTCAGCAGACACACTCAGGAGAGACACATCCAGCTGGTCAACGCCGGCACCTCCTCCATCTCCTGGACCCTCGGCAGCCTCCAGGTCTTGAGAGGTACGTATGTGACAAGACAAGCTAACATGAGTTGTCTGTGAATGTGATTTTCTGTCTGGTGTCTCTGCCATTACATGTGCTTGATAGTCACATCATAAACTCTGTTTGGGTCTTTCGCATGCTCTGTAAACCTCGATTCCCATGAGCTCTTTTGCAAACTCTTGACAGATGAATATCACACTGTTTGGAGTGTTGCTATAAACGTTGCTCTTTCTCTCCCTGCAGGATTCTCATCGTCGACCCTCGCCACCCTCCTGTACGACATGGGTCCCCAGTGTCCCAGCTGTAACCCCCAGGCCTTGCAGGAGCTCATGAGGCGCTATCAGTTTGACTCCACCCTCCACCCATCTGACAACATGGCCATCATCAGTAAACCTCTCCTCACTGACACGGAAGTCGCCCAGCTCTCCGAGGTTCACTCCTACATTATACAGCATTTTTCTCGTGTTATAGCAGTAGTGCATTCACACTTTATCTGCTCGTTCGTGTAGGTTAATAAATTAAAAGCATACCCATTACCTATTTCCTTTTCTGCAGTCTGCATTAACACGCTAATGGCGCAGATTTGCACCAAGTATGCCACCTCTCCCATAGTGTGTGAAACCCTGCAAAGTGGAAACAAAACGTTCACTGTTTTAGGAGCTCCAAAGCGGTACTACAGCCGTAGAAATGCACTGTTTGCAGCCACCCCAAAATTTCAGTTTCTCTGCATTCTGCTACAAGGGAGTCACGTATGCAACGATTTGTTTCAAAATGGCCTGGGAACAAGGCAAAAACATCCACTGTTTGGTGCTTCACTGAACATTCTTTCAGTCGGTATGCCGTCCATTAGATCAGAATGGTAAAACACTCATTCACTGTCTCTTAAACTATGTACGTATGCCCACGCAGATTATGTTTTTGTATGCCCTAGTTGTTCTTCCTTCTGCCTCCTCCTTCTCTCTCTTTCCCCTTATCCTCTCGTCCCATCTTCCTCTGCCCCAAACCAGCAACCGTTCTTCTCCTACTCTGCACAAGACCCGATGAAGTTCTTTGCCCTGTCGGTGAGGGAGAGAGAGCCGGGGGATCAGTCTGGACCTCTCTACATCCCCTACAGTGGGACAGTCCAGTGGGTGGCATCTGCCACTGCCGTCAGTAGACCCCAACTGCTGGATGTTCTCAACAGCTCTGTTGGCCTCGAGCAGCTCGTCTACCTCTATGCCAAGGTCTATGCCGTAAATCCGCTAAGTAAATATTTGCAGTTTTGATGGAAAAACCGCACTTTCGGTGGATAAACCGATGATGAATACCCCAACAAGGTCAAAGGTTGAGACTAGGGCATGAAAACTGCAAGGGGTTTGTGCCTATGCCACCATCGGAATGTTAGGTCACTTACAGTGCCATTAGAACTAGTCTCCTACAACTCTTGATACTCCCGCATTACTCTTGGTGTGCTGTATATACCCCTGTTAGGTGGTGTGTGAGGGGTTCTCAGAGGAGGTCCAGTGGCACGCTCTGTCTCTACTGAGACTGGCCACTCACCACTCTCTACTGGCCCAGCTGGAGCTCCAGGCTCTGGGTGGCATCGGTCTAGTGCAGCAGGTCCTACGCTCCCCCAGAGCTGCCGTCAGCAAGAGGATAGCTGAGGTGAGGGTAACACCGAAAGAAAGGGAACTGATTCATACAAATGGAAGTAAGACTCTGCAGTGTCCTGGTAAACAGTACATGGGTATAAGTACGCTCACATACATAAAATGTATGCTAGCTGCTACACTATAGACATGACCTGTGCTAGTGTTTGTGTGTTCATGGTAAGCACATTGGTAAAATTATTGCGATAAGAGTGCACGTTGCTGCTGTGTTTAGGTGTTCATAAAGTGGTGTTGTGGAGGGCCTGAGATGAAGGCTGTACAGGACTCCTCTGTCCTGGAGCACATTCTCCTGGACTGGAGGATATGGCACAGAGCACAGGAGGAGGTTTGCCCACCACTACAATTCCACTACAATATATAATATTGGAAGGGGTACACTATACGTATGTATCAACTGTATGCAATATATGTATCGACAGAATGCGTATGTACTACATACATTCACCAAGTCTTTCCTGTGATGTGTCTGCAGGTGTGGCAAGAGGTGCTGTGGCAGCTACAGAAGCTCCTGTCTCCCGAGGAGGCCGGCCGCGCCCTCGACTCCAACCTCCAGCACTTCCACTCTGCACAGGCCATCATCAAGATACTGCTCACCAGCAAGGTCATCACTAACAGCCTCTTAGCACATGGTCTTATCATACACTGCCTGACTCCCGGGTATATACAAAGTAGGCAACTGGAAAGAAATAGGCTGTCGTAATTTTAAACAAGCACAGCAAAAGGGTAAACAACACTAAGCCCAGTTAAAACTAAAAAATGGCTGAAATCAAGTAGCAAATCTGTCAGGCTTTACTTCTATGCCAAGAACCCATGCATAATATGGTGCTATCGTCCACTCTGTGTATGTCCTGCGCAGGAGCGTTCCCTGGAGCGTCTCCCTCCACTGTCCCCCAACATTGCCTGTCAGTTTGTGCGACTGGTGGAGCTGCTGGTGGGACTTCCTCCTCGTCTCGAGAGTCTCGGCTACGTCTGTGAGCACCTCCTGGTCAGCGACATCAACGACCTCAAACTGGTGGCCGGTCCTGCTCTACTGGAGACCTCCATATCTGTCTTTGATGGTGAGGTTCATCCGTGCTGACATCAGTGAAGCGAAATGAGTCCCACCTAGGCATCTGAATTGTGCAGTTTGTGTGTGTTTGTAATGACTGACAATGCAGCTTAACAATGCGCATGCTCAAACACCACGTTGAGGTCGCTTTGCTTGCCAATAATGTGTTACGTTAGTCCAAGTAAGCTGTGTATGTTAGTGATCAATGTGACAATTTAGATTGGGGAACTGTGTTTTAAACCAGAGTATTCTAAATTGCTGCTCCAGATGTATTGCCTTCCTATGCACTGCTGCATCCTGTGTGTACACAGGTCGTCATGGGAGTACAGTTGACTCTGGTCCTCCCCTGGCCTCAGTCTCTAGTGACACCCACCACTCCACTGCTGCTGCCGGTGGTCCCAGCAGAGGGGAGGGGCCTCTCCTCTCCCCCACTCCCTCCTCCTCCTCGGCCACCCTCCCCACCGTCATCGCCTACTCACACTCTGTCTCTGACAGCGACACGGAGGAAACGATAGCCTTTGATGTCCAGCCCATCCGGGGTCGACTGCCCCAGTCCTCGTACACTGAGGGAGACAGTCTCTTCACCTGGACTGATATCACTGGTATACTGGGAGGATGACAAACAAGTCTTGTAAAATGCAACAGTGTCAAAACTTGGGAGCTTCTTGGCTCACCTACTGCTCAACTCTAAGTGCCTCTACCACTCTGTTGGTTTCAGACTTTCTATCCATAATCTAGTTATCGCGTACCCGTTTTTTTCTCCATTTTTCCGTTTCCATTCTTTGTGTACTGAAATATTCTCTCTCGCAGGCCAGCTGGGAGGATCGGAAGAGACTGACGGCCCGCTGAGTGAAGACATTCAGACCAGTCTGGAGGTGGGTCTCCTGGGCCACGTGAGGAAGGTCCTCATGCTCATGCCAGACTCCCTGGCCCACATGGTGGTGGGAGAGGTGGTCCAGCATTTCTCTCTCATCGCCATGGCCCACAATAAGGACATTGTCGTCAGGACTGCTGCCATCAGGGTCAGTTTCATACACCTCATACCAGAACACACATTGAGTACAGCTTACATTGAGGCTTGCCAAATGCCTGTAGAGTTGTTTGGCTGTGTGTACACAAGCTTGCATGTCCATAAATTAACCTTGCTAACATTTAGGCCCAGCCAGAAAATCTTAGTAGTGTGTGGAAATTGAATGCATAACTTCCATGTGCCCATTTACACTGAGGGAGGGGGTCCTCGGAGGGAATTTTTTTCGTTTATTAGTGGAAATATGCAGGGAATCTGCATACAATGCATCATGTGCCCATTACTTCACATTATGCACGAGACCGGTCGTTCTTCTATTGTACCTTTATGTCAATACACATACAGGTCTTGGACCAGTACTTCAAGCGAGCCAGTGACTCCATTCGGACTAATTTTGTCCTGACGAAGGGGTTCAACCTCCTGGCAGCTCAGCTGAAGCAGTTCAAGGTCTCGGTGCAGCTCATCTCAGCACTGGTCAGCATGGCCCTGGGTCAGGAGGTCAACCTCTCCAAGGAACAGTTAGTGCCTTCTCTACTCTCTGTCTGTGCCTTCCTTATCTTTTAGTGTACATGTTAATGTAATTGTTGTCAATTTCTGTACAACATGAGGAACTGTAAAACACAGTGTATGTATGTAGGCAAGTAAAATAAAACTTAACTGTACGATTTTCTTGTGAGCTACATACGATATGTACTGTGCGACTGTCACTAGCAAGAAATGTCTTCGTCTCATTTCCTAGGCTGAGTTCATTCCAGCTGCCGGGAGTCATGTCCAGTTTCCACATGCATGCAGTGGTGCCCATCATCCAGTGTACTCTCAACACCGTGAGCCAGCCCCAGCTCTGTCACGCCACTCTCTGTATCCTCAGGGAGGTCAGAATACCATTCATTATACCAATGCACAAACCGAGGGTAGTAGGGATGATTTGCCGTAGCAGATAAAATGTGCATAGAGGCCTTTCATATGAGTTCAGAGTGGTTCGACATTTCATGTAGCTCTCATTGTCCACGTAACAGTGTTTATGCACAGATCATACCATGCAAAAGCATAATGTGTATGTATTATGTGCGGATAATTAATCTGAGGTAATTCGGTGAAGAAAGCCATCCGTTCCAGCACTTACGTGCTCATAAACGTATGTATTGTGTGTGTCTGCAGTTGTTTGAGGTGGTGAAGGGGGTGCCATGGTTCATGGTCAGCAATGGGCTACTGAAACTGCTGTGTCAGATCATTGCCACCACCTGTGATCTCACTCTCTCCAGGTAAGAGTACGATCTACCCATCACACACTATATACATGGCACGGTGTGCTATACATTATCCAGGACTGAAAAGGAGCTCATTCTCACAGATGTGATGCACTTCTGCAAACTAATAGTCATCTATTCTATCAGGTATATAGAATGACTACATGTGTGGTAGATAGCATGGTTACTGTTCCGCTGCTATGCCGGCAGGCTCAATCGGCTGAAAACGGAATTGACCAGGATTATAGGGGTCAGGGGTGATTGACACAGTACCTCGGCCCTTCCTATTACCAAAAACTTGAATGTATAAGTCAGGGTTGAAATAGAACTGTAGCGGAATAAGGACTGCATGGTTACTGGATAATGACGGCACTCTGTTGATCATTGTTGCAGAACCCATAGACCAGTGTATCAGTGGGTCCATCTTCAATATCATATCACCAGCTCCACCATCGCTGCCACGTAGAACATGGTCTCCAGTGGGGAACGTGACTCGGACCCCTCCATCTTCCTCTCATTTGCTTGCTAAAAGTATAGGCATTTCCCGCCACATCACTCTGCCCTGCTCTAGTAAAAGTTGCAGGATGTTTGGTTGGCCTGACCTTGCTCAAGGCCATCCTACACAATAACTACTGAGGATGAGCTTTTGATCGTGGTATTTATGTAGCCTCGTTCCCAGCCCGCTCTCTCGGAAGGCATGGGAACAAGGATAAGGTATTTACGGTGGTTGGCTGGCCTCTCCATCTCTCACATCTGCTTCCTGAAAGAGTTTATGTAACCCAATTTTTCACAAACACTTGTACTGCACACAAAACCTAATGTCAAGATACCCAGGAACGTTGCTTTGCCTGTAGTTCCACCCACTTACTTGCAAAAAGTACGAAATGTTTAAACCACCCAAAAAATTTTCATAGTAATGTTCGCACTGCACACTCCAGGTGTTTTGAATCGTTGGTTGGTGTATTCTTCCCCCTACTTGCTTGCTAGGTTCCCCTGTAACTTCTTAAAATGATTTATATCGACTCTCGCAAAAAGTTCAGGCCACCTTATCTTTGTCTTGCACAGTGCCACTGAAATTCTCCAGCTATGGCAGCATAGTGGTTGGACTGATCTTGCATTTACACCACCCTCTCGATACTTATGCTCTCAATATCTACTATTCATATAGCACATGCACTGTCCCGAGATTTAGTGTCATTCTATAAGTTTGCCTAAGATGAAACTCAACATTAGTTAATGATATACCTTCCATTTCTCCAATGAATGCTGCAGTGCTGACCAGGACGACAGGTTCAGGTCCCTGGAGAACATGCTGGTGTGCATGCGGCACTGCTGCCAGGAGTTGAGGAAGACGCGCGGTCCTCGGGCGCTCTCCGTGGTCTACCTACACCGTTTCCAGTACCACGTCCTGGTCCAGGCTCTCCGCTACTTCCAGGAGGACGTGGGTCCCCGAGAGAGCCGGCTACGTTCCCACCCTACCCTCCTCCTCCTCCTCCCAGCCTCCAGGTCCTACACCTCCCCTCCCAACAGTAGTAGCATTTGGCCTCTGAGCTTACATAGCTTGGTTATAGGCTCTCTCTTCCTACTATAAGTGTACATAGCTACTTATATCCTGGCAAATGAAAGGTGTATACACATAATGTTTTGTGTACTGTGGAGAGATGGCTTCGGATTACGCAATACCTCTGTGCCCTCCTGATAGTGAGGTTTTTCGTGTGTGTGTGGGTGCAGGTCATTCAGATCTGACCAGTCGGTTTGGAACTACGTGTACCATGGCCGTGGACTGGGTCATGTTTGGGGCGGAGCACTTCACCGAAAACCACGCCCATCACTTCATGGAGGGAGTAATGATGCCTGGCGGGATGGACTTTGACCCCCGGGCCAGTATCCCGGCCACGGATGTTGGGTTCACCAGATTTTTACTCAACTTCTTTTGCCACACTCTTCTGCCTGCTGTCAGGAAGGTAATGTTGCTATCTTCACTTCACCAGTCAATTATATTACGTCGATGACATCGTATGACGGATGTTTTGCGTTACGAAAACGCCCTGGCAATACGTACTTTTCTCCCATCTTCCACAGAACATGACTCTGAATCTGGACAGGCAGCGTTACTCCATCAGTTCCCGGAGCCAGCTCAACGAGCAGCTGGGTCGTCTCCTCTGCCACCTCCTCTCTGCTGTCCACGTCACTCCAGTCAGGGCGGCCGTCCTCCGCCAGCTCTGGTCCACGGATGACTCTCGCTACATCCTCAACTCCGTCCTAAACTCCACTCTCAAGAAAACAGTAACTGCAACACCTGTGTCACCATGCATTGACCACAAGGGCAAAGATAGAAAGTTGAAATTCTGGCACTGTATGTGTAGCTTACCACAAGTGTTGGGAGATTCACTTTCTGTTTACATATGTACTACCTTTCAATTCTTGTCCTTATCTCAAAGTTATTACTTTACGTTTTTCTCCGCCTCCCGTACACACACACACACTTTCTCCCTCTTTTCCACTCTGTCCCCTTTCCCCCTTTCTCATTCCCTCCCCCCCTCCCCCTCCCCTCTCCCTCTCCCAGCTGGGTTCTCGACTGGTCCTCACCATCCTCCACCTCCACAGACATGTCTCCAGACCACACCCACACACACGAGGGAGGGACCCTGACCTCGGGAACCTCCTCGGTGACCTCTTTGACCTCGTCTGTCGCTCCGGCTCCACTCGGCTGAAGGCAGGGACGGAGCTGTCGTCTCTCGCAGCCCACGACCCTCAGCGAGAGGCTGGTGACTCTACCAGGGACTCCAAGAAGAGACATAAGTTTGAGACCAACCTCGAGGACATGAGAAATGTATGTGCATAATAATATACCTAGTATCTAGCTACAGTTTTGTTAAGTTCTCCTGTTAGTGCGTAGTTACACACACAGCATACATGTACATACATCTATAGCCAGTGGCAGTAAGTTCTCATAGTTACACACAGCCAGTAAAAGAGTTTGAAACTTTTTGAAAGGTGATTGTTTTTTACTTGCCCAGTTGGATCAGAGGTGGCAGGAGAGGTATGAATACGACATCAGAGGATTTGCTCTCAAGCAGAAGACAACGTACTCAAAGTAGGTTGTTACTCCACTGGAACGAATGCCATGCATTTTTTAGCGAGCGAGTGCATTTTTCATTTTTGCGTGCATTTAGAATCACGTAGAACATTACGGTATGTGCGGTGCCCGCCACATTAAAAAAATCCCTCATCCAGAAAACTAAGTAGGCTCGCCATCATTATGCCATGTCTTAACTCATGTTGTTATAAATATTATTTGTTATGCTGTGACTAGTACTGCCCATCGTTGTATGTACATGTACATGTATGTACCTCCAGACTGGTGGAGAAGGCGAGGGAGAGACAGCAGGTGGTGGACAGGTCGTCAGAGTCAGTCTCGACCCACATCTTTGGTCTCCAGTCTCAGCTGAGGAAGAGTTTCCTGGAGCAGATGTCCAAGGCCAGTGTGACTGAGAGGGACAACCTCCGGCAGTGGAGGAGAGTCATCCTCCTCAACACACACCTCAGGTACTGACAGATCGTGTCTACTGCATCATTCTTTCGCTTCAGTTTTGAGCCCATATTTTCAAACAGTTGTTGGCACTGAAATCAAAGAGTGCGGGTCTAGTTAGATTTAAACTTCCTGTGTGAGTGCTTTTAGGCTTCAATGTGAATTTGGTAAATGGATGGCCTGGTATAGGTGTCTATTCTAGTGGCAGTGCAGCCTGTGTATCAACTACATGTGTATATTACACATAGACACTTATCCCTCCACTCTCTCTTCCTCCTCCCACCACCCTCCACCCCTCCCCTTGCTCTGTTCCTCCCTGTGCGTGCAGGGCTCTGTGGAGTAAGGATGAGTGTCGGACCATGTGCTGGCAGTTGGACCCGACCGAGGGCCCGGGGCGAGTGAGACGGAGGATGATGAGAGCCCCTCTCACCATACACAGCAGACACATCCTCACTGGCTCTGGCAGACACTCTGAGGATGAGACCACTCTACACACTGACAAAAGTCAGTAGATGTCTCAGTAAACTCTATTCTTTATGTACCTTTTCCATAATATGTTGAAACGTACATTGTAGTTGGTCGTTCCTCTACTTCTCCACTTTAAACACACTCTGAAAACCACATAGTGTACGTACGTATGTGCATTTTCTACCCCCACTGGTTTAGTTTCAAGACCACTGCTGGATGTAATACTGAAGGTGTACTCATCTCCCCCCACAGCAATGTCCCCTCTCTCCTTCATCTTTGACAACACTGCCTACTCTGGTACTGAGGGCATCTTCAACAAGGTCGTGCCTCAGAAAGGAGAAGACATGTAAGCCTGTGTGCAATTGCAGCCCTGTACACTAGAGAGACAGGCCCGGAAGACCAACTTCTGTTGTTAGCTACATCAGTGCATAGTGCACCAGTCACTACACTTGCGTAGTTTGAAATTTCAGGTGTCAACTGTGTGATTTGTGTTCTGCAGAAATCACTTGTACAACTGGAAGTGTTCAAACATCAGTCCTGACAACTGCTGTAGAGGTCACCTCATTCTCTGTAAGTTTCCTCAACTACTACTCTGTACCAAACTAATACTAGGCTTACATCTATCTACGTATCTATCTACCTATGGCTGGTATGCACTATAATTTCATGAACCCATTTAGACAGATATTGGAGTAGATTTCTACCAAGACAAGGGTCACTAAAGCTTTCTCACCTTTCTTCCCCAGCCAACATGCGGTGCTACTTTGTTGGAGACGAGCCACTGGGCGACCCTAACATCACCAAGGTCCTGCCTTCTGATGAGGAGGTGGCCCTGTTATCATGGCAGCATAGCGAGGTGGTCGAGATCCATCGAAGACGCTACATGCTCAAGGACGACGCTCTTGAGATCTTCCTGATCAGTGGAAAGACCATGCTCCTCTCCTTTGAGTCCACTGCTGTATGTTCTTTAGCAAAAAACCTATCATTTCGTAGCTTGGAACCAGTTTATTAGAGCCACATAGAGAAGTACAGTATGAAGGAGTATATACATTTGTTGCTGCTCATGTACGTACTTTTAGTGTGACATCTAACTGAACCTTTGTGTGTTATGTTGTATATTATACTGTTGTTGTGTGGTGTAGGCTCGCAACACGGTGCATGCTACTCTGCTGCAACTGGACCTGCCCAACATGGTGGACAGTGGAGAGTCTGAGAGTGAGAAACTCAAGTCCGTCACTCACAGGTATGTACGTGCTCATCCCTATACCCGTCTTTTACCTTTCGCGTGTTAATTCGTCATTCGAATGTTACTTCTTCATTATCTCATTCAGTGAAAAGTTCATTCTCTTTCCTTCATCTCTTATTAATACCTCCTTCCTGCCCCCTCATTTCCCTCCCTAGCTGGCAACAAGGAGAGATCACCAACTTTGAGTACCTGATGGAGCTAAACAAGCTCGCCGGCCGGACCTTCAATGACCTCATGCAGTACCCAGTCTTTCCGTTCATACTGGCTGACTACCACAGCAGTGAACTGGACCTGCGCAAACCAGAGTCATTCAGGTACTCACTTTCTCGACTGTTAGACACAAGCAATCCACAGGGCAACCTTTTTACCACTCTTTGCAATGTTTCTACACGTGCGTTGTCTAACGGGAGTGTAACATCATAATTCAGACAACTAAGTGGATTCACTTAATTTCACTGATGTAGCTAGTGCTGTACTATTCTTCTTGCAGGAAATTTCGAGTGCCAATCTCAGTTCAAGACGAGAGCAGGGCAAAGAAATACCTGGACACATACAAGGTCTGATTCACTTTGTTCTGGCAACTCTGCTCTCTTTCCCCATCTCCCTCCACAATGGTGAACGCATACTGTCAATCATAACTCATTTTGTTTTTCAGACTCATGTCATGCATGCCAAGCTAGGTATAAAAAAGCCGGAGAGTGTGCTGAAGATGAATAGAATGACTACACTCTCTCTGTCTCTCTCTGTCTCCATACTAATCTTCACTCTTCCCAACTCCAGTTCCTGGCCAATGAGCGGCGTGCCAGTGCGGCCCCAGGGCTGTCCAGTATCTCAGACAAGCCCTATCATTACGGCTCTCACTACTCCAACAGTGGCATCGTCCTCCACTTCCTAGTCAGACTACCTCCATTCACCGAGATGTTCCTCGCCTTTCAAGGTACCCAGAGGAATTCCCACTAAATCCTTTTCAAACTGGCTAGCCAGCAATTTGTGTAATTTGTACTGGCTGTGTTTGAGTTACATTTTGCTCGTTAGTGCAATTACAGTGTCCATAGGAAAACGGCCTACACCTATACTTACTGTATCACCTCTTGCATGTTAAGTACTGTTTTGTACACATGACTAAGTGTGTATGTGTGTGTGTGTGTGTGTGTGTGTAGGTGGTAGTTTTGATATTGCGGACAGGACATTCCGTAAGCTGGAGACGACGTGGTGGCTCTCGTCCTCCGAGTCAGCCACCGACGTGAAAGAACTCGTCCCAGAATTCTTCTTCCTCCCCGAGTTCCTCGCCAACTCTGAACGTACGTACAAACATCTGCTGCAAGTGTAATGAAATTGAAATGTGTGCAAGAGAAGGCCACTTATCTGCTAAAGAATCCAATTTTACTATACCCTGACCTTCATCTTTGGCTCTTTCTACGGGCCGTGATATATACGGAGCAGACAAAGCAAAATATATGAATAGTTTCAGGGCTATCATATCCAGTGGTGCTGTGTATCTTACCATTGTGAGTATTAGTCAATGGGTGTGTAACACTCACTTGTGATGGCTGCAGGGTTCAATTTCGGGGAGTGTCAGACAGGGGAGAGGGTGGACCATGTCATTCTACCTCCCTGGGCCAAGGACGACCGACGACTCTTTGTCCTCAAACACAGACAGGTATACATTGTAGCTGGTCCTGACATGCTTATGTATGTATGTCGTAATCCGACTAAGTATTACTTTTTGCATTTGTTGGGCCTGTTGATATCAAAAACAAGCAACTTGGAATATTTGTATGCAAGTCTAATTTAGAAACATTTTGACTATTATAAAACCCACACGTACGCTAAATTTACACAGTTCACCTACAAGAGGGGGTGCGTACAGAGTGGGGCATTGCTTAAAATGTACAAGGGTTAGGTAGTGTAGACTCAAAATAAGTTTTTATGTTGACTGTTGGCGAAGAACATGGTTGTCTCTGTGAAAGGTATTGGTCATTATTCCCAGGCCCTGGAGAGTGACTTTGTATCGCGGAATCTCCACGAGTGGATCGACCTGGTGTTTGGCTTCAAGCAGACAGGGAAGGCAGCTGTCCAGGCCATCAATGTCTTCCACCCAGCTGTGAGCAACGGCTAGCACTATCATGCCCACACTCTCAAACCTTAGCAGTGGCACTGCACATTTTAATATACCGTTATTACCGTGTTGTGTGCGGCAGATGTACAACTTCTTATTATGGTCCACTATGGATGAGTTAGCAGATGTATATGTACATGCGCTATAGTCTTTGTTGGTAGTACTGTATATAGCTTATTTTGTCTCTGTCATCTTGTTTATTAATGAACACATGCACACCACTCCACATCCAGACGTATTACGGAGCAGACGGTATAGACATCGACTCGGTCACCGACCCCACCCAGCAGGCTGCCATGAGAGCCATGGTCAAAACATACGGCCAGATGCCACTCCAACTATTCCGAGACCCTCACCCTCCACGCTCCAAGAACTCCATACTCACCTCGTTTAGAATCCGCATCGGCTCCGCCCTCCGCTGGCTGTCAGCGGCCCCACCCACCCAGAGAACCCCGAGTCTCTACTTCTGGATGCACGTCTCGTCCGTGAAGGCCCGCATCCCTCTCTCGGGGTCAGAGTGCGACTTCATCGGAACCCCCGGGTCCCCCGACTTGGTGTTTGCCCACGACCAGTCCCTGGAGAGGGTCCCCGAGAGGATATCTGTGGTGGGCGGGGGGGAGCTGATAGTGACTGGGCTCCAGACTGCCTATTTCCCCTCCTCCTCCCCGGCCACTGCGGGGGTCCTGGTGGTCTGGGGGACGTGGGATAACTCTCTCGTCCTCAGATCCACCGCCTGCGAGAGCACCGCCGTCAGATTACACTCTCACCCGCTCAATAAGGTGAGCCCCTTAATTAGTGACATTTGGCTCCTAATCTACTCTCTCAGCCCTTTACTTGCACCCTATAACTAGGTTAGCTCCTTAATTTCTGTAACTAGGTTAGCTCCTTAGTTACTCAAAGTCCGCAATTATGCTAATAGGACTCAATCTTCTTCATGTTGTTAATTAACCCTTGGCGTGCATGCGCAGCAAGGGTTACAGTACTTGGTTCGACCCCACCTGGCACTGAAACTGACAGGTGGTCCAGAGCATTGGCTGGGAACAGCTCTGGTTCCTCCCCTTACCTACGAACATATGTATACGTACATCTCGAAGGATTTGGCATTGCACTGCGTCCATAGGTGTCTGTCTGGAGAGATGTAGGGCTGGCCCATTTTTTCAACCTCATAATTTATGATTTTTACCTAAAATATTCCACTGATGAGATGAAATGGTGCATGACATTCAGTTATCTATCTTTCTTTGTTGTATATATGGCCAGTATTGTTTTTGCACGTGTAAGAAGCCTCTCAACATAACCCTTTGGATTGCCCATTACCATCTTTTGTACAATTTCCCTATGCCAATTACCGTTTTGGTATGTACATCCCTCGCCTACAAAATTACAGTTATACTTTTGTATAAAAGGAGTGCCACAAAACACCACTCTTCACGATGAGTGTGTGCATACGGACCAAGCACGGGGCTGTCGTCCCCACTAAAACCCGAGCAATTACAGAGTTTGTCATCTGTCGGTGAAGTCGCGTAAAGTCGCGTAGCTGAGTTGCTGACGTGTTTTGTACATCTTTTTTATGTATGTGTGTATGTCATGTACTACATAGGTGACATGTTGTGAGTGTGTGAGGAGCGGTCAGATGATAGTGTCGGGAGGCAGTGCAGGGACTATCTCATTCTGGACCATCTCCAACACTCCCAGTGTACGTCACACCACACTACTCTCTCTCTCTCTCTCTCTCTCTCTCTCATCGTTTATCATCCTGCATGTCAAAAACTACTGACAAGTGCATGCTTTTTGTTGATCTGTGTTACCTCTCCCACATGCATGAGTTAGCAATGGCAAACTCATATCCCATTCGCCAGCCCATATTTTGATCATCATAGTAACAAACGTACACTCAAACCTGCACAGTTCTATCATGAGATGCGGTATAATCAGAAAATTTGCCTGCTTGGCAGCCATGCTTGGAATCACCAAATTTATTCCTGATGGCTTCAATTTTAAAACACATCAGAATTTTACACAGTCAATCACACTATATCAAGATAGCCCATAACAAAACAAATCCTGTAAAATATTCAGTACCTTATAGCTGATGTCTACAAACTCTGCATGTGTATAGCCATGTAGCTTCACATGCTCACTTTGCACATAACTTGGCTGGAGAATTGACAGTAGTACTCGTACGTTCACCACTCCTCCACTGTTACCACAATCATCCCACGTGACGTATCCATGTGTGTGTACAGGGACTGAGCTACACGGGGAAGGCAGTTCACCTGCGGGGACACGACGGTCCCATCAACTGCATGATGGCCTGCAAACCATTTGGTATTGTGGTGACTGGCAGTGCCGACCACACTTGCATCATTTGGGACACAAACAGGTCAGTCACAGTCATTTGTAGTGGGCAAGTACAAGTCCAAATTATGCCATTTGTCTTTATATGTACCACTAACAAGTGGTCTAAATTGTTATTTATCAAAACATGTGCATTCATTACTGAAGGTTACTTGCTTAAGTTCACCTAGCATTTCTAACAGTAGGACCGTCACTCAGAATTTCAATGACTCCACTCCCACCCTAGCCAGTTCTCTTTCTTGAAAAAATGTCCTGGCTTCCATTAACTTTCTTCGATCCATAATATTATGTCACTCGCTAGTGTGCTATGCAAGTGCCTTTGCACGTACAGTCTTACTCTCCATTCAGTTGCTGGGTACATGGGAATGGTACAGGACACAGTGAAAACCACTCCTCACACTGCATGTACTGTGCATGTAGTAGTACCACTACACATGTAGAGCCGTGGTGGGTGTGAATTCAGTGTGTACAGGTGGGCTTAACGTGGGCTGTCTCGTGTACATACATATGTATGTATAGCTACGTGTGTACCTATTGCCTTTGTGGTGCGGTGAGAGGACATGCTGGCCAGTCAGCTGTGCTGAAAGAACATGTATCTACCCACACCAGCAGGCCAGGCGTACAAATGCAAATGTACCGGTGGGTGGACACTGCACCTTGCTGTGTCTGTGGGTTTTCTAAACCTCATTTTGTTCCCCCATGTTGTTTTCACCTGCCTCCTGTGTAGCACCCACAATAGTCATGGGTAATTCACGTATGTTAATAAGTCCCTGGCACGGTTGAGTGCAGACATATCTTCCCAACCACTGGAATCAGAAACTCTAGCACTGAAATTGAGTACTCCAGGCCTCCAATGTGTTGTCACCGTGTTATGTGACACAGTGACTCCCACTGTAGACTGAACCATGTGAACTCTGCTGGCCCAATTGTGAAGAGTGTGTTATGTGACATGAACACTCTTATTTTTACTGGCCCTATGTAAAGATATGTGACATGAACGCTTTGATTTCTCCTGGCCCTGCTACATGTGTTATGTGACATGAACACTCTGATTTCCTCTAGCCCGATGTAAAGATATGACACATGAACACTGATTTCCCCTGGCCCAAATGTGAAGAGTCTATTATGTGGCACAAACACTCTGATTTCTGCTGGCCCTATGTAAAGATATGACACGTGAACGCTCTGTGAAGAGTGTGTTGTGTGACCTTGTGTCTCCCTCTTGCAGACTCAGCTACGTGAACACTCTGGGAAGTCACGAAGGTCCAGTGAGTGTGGTGGCCACCAGCCCTACTCTGGGAGACATTGCATCTGTCTGTACCGCTCTCTCCAGACCTAGCAGAACATCCACCACTGCCAACAGTAAGATGTGGGGGAAATGTTCAGGGACCAAAAAAAACTTTGAAATTGGTGGCAAATAAAGAAGGTTTGGGATTATAAATCATGGTTTACTGTTTTCTATTGTCTATTGCGGTGCTACTTTATACCTTACTGTGTTTTTTCAACTACAGATAACATTTGCTCCTTCTGTTTTATCGTTAACTTCGTTTAGTAAACCCTGATCTAAAGAAGAAAGAACCATCTTTTGTAGGTTGAGAAAACTTTTGTGGTTTGCTCTGAAACCACAAAATATGTATTTCTACCATATTAAAATTCACTGTTTTTAATTTCCTCTTTTCTGTTTCACTACCAACTGTGTTTGCTGTTTCAGCATTAGTTGTGTTGAGATCATTATATCAATGACTCCTCCGAATAAAAACATTTACATGCTCTTTGCAAGTTGTTTTCCAACAGCTCATGTTGTTGCTACATAACGTTGATAAAACTTCTAGCGAAATCCAACAGATGTTTCTTGTTGTGTACATGTGTTGTCCCTGTAACTATAGCCATTAGCGTGAGGTGTGTACTCTGCATGTGTGTACAGGATCATCAGAGGAGCAGTTGTTCTACCTGAGAGTGTGGACCATCAACGGTCACCTGGTGAGGAGGGTGAGCAGCAAGGTCCAGATCAAGTGTCTGCAGTACTCCTCTGCTCCAGAGGGCGTCTACATCAATGTACTGGCAGGAGGACTTGCTAATGGCAACATAAAGTAAGCTCCAGACTCTGAGTACTTATTCACTGCATTTCTTTGTGCTTTGAGCCCACATTTTGAGCAGAGTCATAATATTGTGTCTATGCTAAATTGTGAACAAATTGATGATGAATGTGTGTATGCAGTTTATGGAGCTCGTGGGATTTGAGTCTGATTCGAGAGGTCCCCTGTCCCCTACCCACCTCCTACCCTGTACTCAGGTTAGAGCTGTCCTCATTGAGAGGGTGGGCCACACTCTGGGTTTCTGACCCTGCACCTAGTGCATACATACAACACACCCGCACAGACATGTTACTGGCTTTCAATGTTCTTGGAATTTGGTGGTTTGGCGATATTGAGCTAACTCATATTATATGTTTGCAAGATTACAGTACAACATCTCCATTATTGGCGAGCAAAGCGAGCCCTTCTAGTCGTCTGAATGTTAGAAAACTGCCACATGCCGCATACGTGATTCTACATATCATGTGCCTGCTCATTTCGCTCGCCCAAATGCATTTCATTCCTCTAGTCTACAGTTACAGTAAGATTTTTAACTGCTCTGATCTGTTCCACGTGCAGTATTGGGATCAGCTCCCTGTCCAAAGAGCTGTACGCAGGCTACAGCAACCGGCAGTTGGTGGCCTGGGTTAAGCCACGCCACGAGTTCAGGGAGGAACAAGATTTTGAACACCTGGGCCTTGAGCCATACTTCTCTATGAGCAAGAGGCTATAACTCCCTGCAGCACATAGAATCAAAAATTTAAAAGGCTATTTTTTCACAGGTTTCTAAACACCAGATTAATTTATTTCGTTTGTGTTGTATGCGTCACGGTTTTTATTTCACCATCATTCGGTTCAGCTGCCTAAAATGTTTCTGTACCCGTTTTAGTTATTACTATAATATCACAAAGTGCTTCTCACAATGTATGGACACGATATACGAGCCATTATACACGACTTCCTGAATAAGCGGACGATGAGCGGATAACAACGGAAGTCGTCGGATGCAATGATTGGCAATTAGTGTGTAACCGAGCCTTTACGTCACAGCTGTGTCAGTCAAAACGAGGGAGCCCAAACCTCGCGTTGCAAAAACGCAGTTGAAAGTTAGAGTGTAGCGTTGTAGATAGTTTCACTTGAACGAGCTCGAACATTCTTGTCTACATTGGACATCAAGAGCACAGCAGGACCGGCGTAGAGATGATGGCGGCACCTAGCCACATGACGAGACGACCCACTACCGACGTTTTGTCTTCAGCAGACATGGACATCATCAAGTTCAAACCGGACGGCGGGGCCGTCGGAGGAGGAGGCAAGGGGAGTCCAGAATACAACATGTGAGCCGAACATGTAATGGAAAAGTATCGTAGCGTAGCTGCCCTGGTTGTGTACCGTGGTGAAATCTACAGTTTACTGTTGGGAAAAGCCACCATGTGTTCACGGAGGCGTGCGTGTTTTTCTGTCGCGCTGCAGTGGACAGTTTTGCTTGTGTTGTTGGCTCTGCAAACATTCATTCACACTGTATACTCTGCACACATTCAGTGGTGAATGGTCAGCCCCATAGACCATACACTCCTCTGATTGACTCTGCATGGTAGTACAGAGTGTCGTGGGTTCAAATCCCACCCAGGGCAGCTCTTCTTTTTTCCTTGGAAAAAAAGAGCCTGTCCTGAATGTAGTTGGTTTGATTGGCCTTTGCCTTTCTTCCTCGTAGTTTACACATGCAGGGCTATAGTAGCTTGGTTGTGTGTTGATGTGAGCCAGATGATTCTATGTTGATATTCATCTTCTGAGACCTCAGACTGCCTTTCATCACACCTGAACACTGTGCCTAATTAAGAATCTTCTTAATCTTCCCACACATACACAGAGAGTGACTCTTTCAACTTGTCACAAATATTAATTAAATTTTAGATTGCTGAAAATAACAATAGCAAATTTGCAGTCATGTTATACACAGATCTATGCTTGTAGCTAAGGATGACTTCTCATCAGTAGTATCGGTAGTCCTATTGACCTTCCTACTATTATAAGAGTTTGGGAATCTCTGCCTATAAAAGACTAAAGCAGCCCCTAGCCACACTGGCTAAGCCTCAACCTCTTTGAAATACTTCCTCCCAATGTTGTCTCTTTGTCCCTTCCCTACCTCATCTCTTTGTCCCTCATCCTCCACACAGGCCTCATGTGTCAGTGGAGCTCACAGACTATGGCAGGAGGAGACCGTCTGGTGAGAGGAGAGGCTCTCCCGAAGCCAATGCTCCAATTTACGGAGAGTTGGTCGTCCTGGGGTGAGTGAGAGTCTAGTCTGTTTGTATGTGGACATCAACACTACAGTCTATCTCTACTGCCTGAATGGAGCTAGATGATTCCGAACATTGTGTAGGCCATGGTATGCTCATAAGGCTCCTGTACTGTTGCATGGCCCCATACATCTAGCAGTGTATAAGCCATAGCTACTGATATACATAGCTATGTGGGTAACAAGAACCCTATTATACCTCTATGGATGCATGTAATATTTTCAGCAGAGGCAAGCATTTCAAGTATGCCGGTTGCTTGGTTATCTCCTTCCCCTAGCTAATTGGGCCACTGTTTTTGTTTGCCCACCATGCAACCCTATCTTTCTGTTGCCTGTTGGGTGGGTCACAGGTCATCTGCCAGTGTCCTCAGGCAGTTGCATTGGTACATAGTGTTTCTTTGTCCATTGGGAGTTAACTCAAATGTCTCTCGCCTCTGTTTCCTTCAACTATACTCCACCGGTGGTTATCAGAGAGAATGTCAGATCCAGTGTTTGTCTGGGATCGTAGCTCAGTGTAGTGTTTAGAGTACTGGATTCCCAGTACACTGGGCCTGGACTCTGACTCCCCACTAAAGTTGGTTTTTGCATTCTCTCTTTGTCCAACCTGAGACTGACTAGTAAAACATGGACTTTCCATCACCAGGCCAGGCCTTTCATATTCCATAATTTTCTGGGGACTGTAGCCAGTTGAGTTGCACTTTGCTATATTACTGACCTTAAGAACCACATGATGATAATTGTCTGTACGAATAAGTACAGCTGATATGCGACCCGGCCAGGTGGCCAATCACGCCATAACTACTGTATGTGTGAATATCTTGTCTACCACTGTTTTTACAGGACGAATGGGAGTCTGCCCTGCCAGGCGATATCCCACAAGATGAGGCACTCGTTTGTGCTGAAGAAACAGCCCAAGGCCACGGGGGTGTCCCCCATCGTTAGAGACCAACGAGTAAGTCTCCATCATTTCCGCACTTCCTTTAAAACTCTGTCGTGTATTACAGAACACATGACAAATCTGCTCTCCATTCAAATGTGCAAATTGGACCAAGTCCTTTGTTCTTATTTCCCCTTTTCCCCTTTTCAGCTGCCTTTTCATCATGTAGTAGTAGTGCCATCATTTCACTTGCCCCTTAGATGTTTTTTCGTATTGTGTACACTTTCCCTTCTCTCCCTCATGTGTCTGTCAGGACCTGGACTCACTGGCCCGCAAGTCCACACACACAGTCACCCTCCAGAAGACTGGCCATGTGACAGAGTACGGACACGACTCAACCACAGACCTCTTCCAGGTATGTACGTATATACCTTCCCAACATCTGTAAACATGCAGCCTCCAATTAGTATCTAGCTCTCACTTACACACAAAACTGGTAAAGTTAAGTATGTAGCAATGAGAAACTATCATGCATGGTTAATTACCAAGGAGGCTGAACCGGCTGACAGCAGATACTCTTTCACCATCAACCTTTAACCTTACCACAATTCTTGAGCGGTCGTGCGTGGCTTGTGTGAAATTCCCATGAGCCAATGGTTGAGTTGACAACAGGGAGTGTGTTGGAAACAATGTCGTGACATGTCTAGACTAGTGGTGAATTGGGGAGTTGTGAAAATTAGCTCCTTTTCTGGGCATACTGAAAGCCACCACAGAGTAAACTGCGTATGATAACAAGAGCTATAGTTGACCGACTGTTCTGACTGTGTGTGAGTGTGTGTGTGTGTGAAGTGAATGTGTATCATGGCTGCATGGTATGTAGGAGTGGATGAAACATGTGCATGAGGAGATGTGACCAAGTGCAGTGTGTGTGTGTGAGAAGTGAATGTGTGTCATGGCTGCATGGTATGTAGGAGTGGATGAAACATGTGCATGAGGAGATGTGACCAAGTGCAGTGTGTGTGTGTGAGTGTGTGTGTGTGAGAAGTGAATGTGTGTCATGGCTGCATGGTATGTAGGAGTGGATGAAACATGTGCATGAGGAGATGTGACCAAGTGCAGATGTGTGTGTGTGAGTCTGTGTGTGTGTGTGTGTGTGTGTTGAAACTCGGCCCTAGTCTGGAAATGCAGTGTCCTCAGTACGAACAGGATGCTGTGCAATGTGATTGCTCCCACAGCTATGTCAAGTGACTCAACCCCACTTTGATGCCCCTTTACTAATAACACATTGTAGTTATAACACATGAACTCTTCCTGTAGGAAAGTCATGTGTTAGAATTTCCACACATGCATGTCCAGTGTAATATTTTGAACCAGGAAGTGCTAGCTAGCTAGCTTCCTGTCAGCCAGTCAGTCTTCTAGGCCTTGTGACTAGGGATCACAGTTTGGCACATGGGCTAAGAGTAGATCAAAGGGTGAAAGGTGAAGCACTAATTGCACCTTCAGCTGTGTTGCCGTCCTTGCAACAGACCCACGCCCAGTCAGTGCAACCACTCCCAACAGCTGCTGTCTGTCACATAGGCATGCCAGAACTTCCTGCATATGTTCTCGGACAGCTCATCTCCGTGTACATCCTTTCCCAGCCTTCAAACAATGCACACAGACATTGACAGCAGTGCACGGAATGACCAGAGCTAGGTGCTATCTATTACCCTCAGGTTACATCAATGCATCCACTGCTAATTGTGCAATTCCCTGATGGTTATAATTAAATTAATGATCTACAGGATTGCTAACCGAGGTAACCACTTATGGTGCATATTCGTGATACGATTCACATGACATAATGTGCTGCACATGTGACTTCCACTAGTTGATTTTGGATCATGTATACCATGCCACACACATACATACACACGCCTAGCCTCATGGGCCCAGATAATGTGTTAGAGTGAGTAAACGTAGTAATTGCCATGAGAACAGCTCACTATACCCACTGGACCTGCTCCTTGTGTTCCCTAACACTCTGCCACATACTACCATCAAACCTTCCTCTCACTCTACAGAATGCATGAAGCTACAGCCAGGTTTACGTTACGTCGGCCTGAAGCAGGAAACGTTGTCCGATACACTGTGAACCTTTCAAACTAGGACTAAAAAGTATCCCCAGCTGGCGCCCTAGCTACAGTTCTCGCAAAGAACTGTGTTTATATTTAGCTATGTATTCCAATCCTGATAATTAGAGTGTATAGTTTGTTGCAATAGGCCAGTTGTGGCTGTGTGTGGTCAAACTCACTGACCTGTGTCCAAGGCAGCTACCACCTGCTGTTCTGTAGGCCTTGAGTGAGCCTTCCTTGAAAGGTGATGCATTGTCTCTATATAGTGTATGGCACCTCACAGTGGCTAGTTGGCATTCCAGGTGAATGAGGTGACATGGCTTGCCTTGCCCTATTGGGAATGGAGAACTTTACATGCACAGTCAGAAGGCTCCTTATGCAAATTTGCAACATTTGCAGCAGTGGATCAAAGCTACACTGGATTGTCCTAAATGGTCAGATAGAGTCAGGAGTGTGTGCTATGTCTGTTGGTAATGGTTCCTGGGACACACAAGAGGGCTAGCTTCTGGTGCCACCCTCGTTACATTCCACACCTTAAAACACACTCTGCCTCTTCTTTTGTAGTACTTCACAGAGATGATTTAAATAAAAGTGCATCACAGGGTGTGGCGTTCTGAATCAACTACAGTACCGAACATGGTGTATAGGATGTTGGGTTGGGCCTCACTGCAGTGGTCGATGGTCCATGTATGTAGCACAGACTATTTGCTTGCAAGAGAAAGTGAGATGTAGTTGATTCTCGGGTGTTTGGGTGTGTGTCTTAATGGGTGGGTGTGTTGGATGGCATGCATTTGGCTCACTTAGCATGCATTGCTCTACTGGTATGTGAGGCTTTGTTGATATGTAAAGTACCCTGTCGCTGAAAATGACCAGAAATGTACATTATTATTATAGCTGTGTGTTTTGTGTCATTTTGTTTGTATATCTGGTGGTGTGGAGGGGTGTATGGTGGATCAACAAGTTCCCCATGACTGGAGCTGTGACTCCAAACACTCATTTACCTTATAGCTTTGAAGCCCAGTAGCTCTAATCAGGGGGTGAAGGCTCCTGTAGGAGGTGAAGTGGGTGGCTGAAAGACTATCTGTCTACCGGTTGCCAGGCACACTTCCACAGGTCTATCTGTGTTTGTTTTCCTCTAGTGATTGCGGCTAGTGAACTAGTGTATGTAGTGTTCCAGTGGACTACTGTATGTATGTGTGTGTGGAGGGATAAGTCTTGAAGCCAATCAGGGATTAATGAAGTGTGGAGGGGGAGGGGTGGTGGTCTTAATAATGAATTCCGAAGGCACGCCTTCTGCTGCAATGCACTGAAGCATTAGGCACAACAGCATCTTAATGCCTATGTCATCTAGTAAAGTGGTGTATTTTCTACTAGCTTTTACTGGCAGGCACAAAGGTAATAGTCAAAAATTGTCTCTGTGTCTATAATAGATACAGCACTCCTACTATCAGGCCAGAGAGTTTTCCATTATTACACAGTCATTATGTGTGGGAGCAGTTCCTTACAGTAGTGTATCTCAGTATGCCTGAGACTATGTATTAAGGTCTGTGGGAAACATAAGTGATGAGTTGCTCTATTGGAGTCCAGGTGTAACTGATACCATGACATAATGTGCAAGGCTAGTGTGGAGGAAACCATATTTATGAAGTGTACCATGACAAGGAGAGAGTGATGGGCGCCAGCTGACAGGTGATCTTAGAGTGAACTCCTCTAAAGTCATGTGAAACATTAGACCTGACAAACAGGATGATACAGCTGATGTTTTTCTTGAACCTTTAACTTGCTTGCCAGGTAAAGTAGCATAGCTGTAAGACAACATAGTCAATTCACACCAGGCTGCTTTCATACCTCCGTAAATTCCTGCCTAATTATGTTATGTGGTATGTAGAGAGAGGTCAATAAAATCTGAAGAATTTACATGCACACAAGTGGTAAATTCCTCAGATATTAGAATCTAATTGGTTTTGAAATTGAGTAAAGGTAGGTTAATGGGAAGGCATACCAGTTTATGTAAAGTCCAGAAAACTGCTCATTTCCCGTAGTCTATGATCTTGTCCGGAAAAGGAGCTAATTTTCTGTGTTGTGAGATGCCAGAGTGGTGTTGTTGTTAGAGATGTGGTCAGGTAAGCCGGCAGAGACCCTGGCCCCTCTGCCAACTCCTCCCACACAGCAAGGATATCTCTCTATCTCTCTATCTCTCCTAACACTCACATATTCCTGAAGTCACTCGCAGCAGTGTTGTACAATGAAATCCTGGTGTTTCCTTCCTGTGGGAAATTGTGGTTTCCATCTGCATTCCAACACATCGCAACTACTGCGGCCTTAGTTCACCATGATACTTTTGACTTGCTATATGGACCACACTGACACTAGTGGCTTGCCCAGACACCTCACACGTTTGGGAAGACATGGTCATCAGTGGGGTCCAAGTCATGTGCTAAAGTATCATCTGCCTCCTTAGTATCTTTCCCCATAACATGGCGATAAACTGTTGTCATCATCTCTTGTAGATTGGGAGGTCAGCAGATTCGGCCATTGATCTGGTGGTAGTGGGGACAGTCAAGGGCCCAGATGGGAAGAGGGCCTACCGCAGTAACAGCACAGTGTCTCGCTACGCCTGTCGCATCCAGTGTGAGAGATCTCCCCCCTATTCCGCCAGACTCTTTGCTGCAGCCTTTGACACCAGTGGCAAGATAAAACTCTCGGTGAGTATCTTCAACACTCTACGTTCACAGTACGTCGCATTGCCCCGTCGCACCGTGCCACGTCGCGTGGAGCCACAAAGATAGAAATGGATTCTATCCTCGCGACGTGGAAAAGCGGCCAGGTGCAACCGGGCAATGCGACATATTGTGAGCCTAGCCTTAGTCAGAATGAATCTTAGTAAAGTCCCTGTTGGAATCAGTACTGATTATGCAACTCTTGTACTGGACCTTTAATTTGAAAGACTCTGTCTCCATATCAATTGTGTAGATATGGTCAGTTTTCTGCCGTGTCTTAGGTAAACTTATAAGTTGCTGTGGTCTATTGGTGTGCGTCTCAAGTCTTAAGATCAACTTGTAGTGTCTAATTTTTTCTTCCTCTGTTTCTATGTCTCCAGTCGATGGCTCCATCGTGGCAGAACAGGTCGGGAGAGTACGACGGCGTCACGACCAACGGAGTGGCATACATGAGACCAGTGGGAGTGTTTGAGTCAGGAGTCAGTCCAGGGGAGTGGAGGGAGGTCACCGTGAACGGACACGTCAGGAAGATGAGGAAGGAACGCTCCTCTAGATGTACCGGAGTTGAGGTCAGAATCTCACCGAGCCAGCCGCAAGTCTGAGCTTGAAAGTGGCATTGGGAAATTATTGCCGATAGCCTTCGATCATCAGAAGAGTGTTGTTTGTCCCCACCAAGATTCCCTTGGTATAATAATAATACTCAGGTGGCTGCCATAGCACTAGGGCCATAGACCACACACCCAGAGCAATGGGCGGAACCGTTAACAAACGAACATACACCATATGAACATGAGGTGTCTATTCCCTTGATAAAAGTCTGTTGTAGTGTTCCACCTTGGTATTGTTGCTGATCTTCCCCCCTCTGTCATTCTCCCACTGTATGTAGGCTCCAGAGGAGACCAATATTCTGACTGACGGCTGTCTCATAGACCTGTGTGGAGTCACCCTCATGTGGCGGACTGCCATTGGCATAGAACAAGGCCCTGTGAGTACACACACCAGAACTGCTGGTATAAAATCTCTTGCCAGGAGAAGACAGTGTAGTGTAATGAATACTAATAAGCAGGAAAAGCCCTCTATAGCTCGCTCACTTATCTATCATGTGTATGACCAAATGTGTGTTCTCATGCTCACAGAGCAACACCATCCTGCGCTCACATCGCCAGGAGCTCAACGAGAAAGCCCCTCAATGTCCAGTCAATCTCCTCACACTCCATTTCAGAGGCAGCAGCCACGCCAGGACACCTGCTAATACCTCCTCCACTGTGAGTGTTGCTGACACAGCAAGATTAATGATGTAAACTGGTGTGAGGTAATGGTTCCAAAAATAGGCTGACAGCGTTTTTTCTAAACCTGATATTTGCATGAGTTGACTCATGGTCAGCACATAGTTTGCCCATTGATTGATTTTGGCTGGTAGTAAACATGGGATGTATAGGAATAAGAGTGTGGACCGTCTGTCCATCTGCAGGAGGTATTAGAGGAGAGAGAGCCGTGGGTATACCTCAAGTGTGGTCATCTCCATGGCTACCACGAGTGGAAGGCCGGGCCCAAGGAGAGCGACTCCAAGAGAACATGTCCGGTCTGCAGAGAGGTAAGCTGGCCCACTCTCTCTCGTGAAAAACCCTTATGAAAACCCGTGGAGGCAATCCTATAAACAAATGAACAGTGACGACACTGTATAACTAGACATAAACGGCTGCCCAACATCACGAACTGGAACGATCCTATACCTATTCGTTTCCTGGGCTTGAATCTCAAGAACCTCTTGCATGATTAGGACCACCCAAACGACTGCTATAGGCACTGATGTTACAAACTCTGGCAACAGGTCTCTCTCCACTTACCTGAAGAATGCTTATAAGTATTTCCACTTGAAGAGGAATAATTGATTTGTGTTGCATGTTTGCTAATAATTAGTGTTGTCTATTTGTTAACCAATTTTGTTAACCTCACACAGTTCTATGGCAATGTGTGTTGTCTGGGGCTAGAGGCTTGCACTGTCAATGTTGTGATACGTATATGTATCTTTCATCCGATCATTCCCGCTGCAGGTGGGGCCATATGTGAGACTGGAGTTGGGGCAGCAGAGGGCTTTCTTTATTGACAGTGGAGCTCTAACCCACGCCTTTGTCCCCTGTGGACATGTCACCACCAAGAGAACTGCAGAGTCAGTCACTAACACCACACATTTTTATAACCACGTTATATAGGGCCGTGGTGAGATGGCAATATACCTCAGCAGCAATGGTGCAGGCTGCCTATGCAGCCTAGTTGCTCTAAAATTCTCTTAGCCTGCCTTGGAAAGTTACGAGGAGGCGAAAGCAGTTAAAATGAACCGGCATTGTTTCTTGGATGGGCTTTAGCACCTATAAGTCTACCTGTATTGCTGGCAAACACTGAATACATGTACTGTGATCCTCACTCTCTCTCTCTGTGTGTGCAGGTACTGGACGTCAGTGCAAATCCCACACCTATCCAACGAGCGGACGTCTCGGTGTCCATTCTGTACCGAGCCTCTTGACACAGAGAAACCGGCCGTCAAACTCCTCTTTAGCTGATGATCCAACACCCCACCACCCCACCATCATCACCATCATCACAATAATGACACTCTGTACCGTACCGTACACTTGGCAAGTCATGTTTTTCGTGTCACATAATTCAGAAATCATTTTTATTGCCATATTCACTTCATTTTTTGCACCAAATAAGTTTTATAAACCAGCTTTCTTTCAACAAACACACTAAAGCGAAGCCAAGCGCCAAGCGCATTGATATTATCGTTGGATGTGGTTTTACATTTTACACATCACCAGGGCATCCAATCTTATATACCAGCTGACAACTGACCATATTATACCATATCACAAAGCTACAAACACACGTTGCATAGGCACAGAGCACAATGGCTGTATAATTATAGGAGTAGAGTACAACTTGTTTACCATGCATCATAATATATACCAACCCTACGCATCGATCCTTGCAGGCATGATATGAGAAAGTACTCTACTAATAAAGAGACAATTACAGGGTGATCATCATGACTTTGAGTGTTTGTCAGTGTGTGGGGACGTGCTAGTGAAGGAGTCAAGGAGAGTCTGAACGACGGTGGATCCAGAGTCCTGAGCGGGAGGACTGAGGAGAGCCTTGCGGGAGATGTGATGCCTCTGGGTCACTGGGTCTCGTCCGTAGTACTTGACGTTGATGGTCTGCCCCACCGTCACTCCCAGCTCTGACGGGTGGATGATCTGGAGAGGGACATATGGAGGGAGGCATACAACATTAGCAAGCCACACAGAAGTGAGACAACATGGTCATTAGCAGGGAATTCCTGCTGTACCTGTTGTAATCGACAAAGGACCCTAAACCATCTAAATTCTCAGTCTATGATAATTAAGTGAGTGATGGTGCTAATGCGGCACCTATAGCACTATGGCCATAGATAGACCAAACACCAAGATCACCGGAGGATGAGGAAGATTAGTGGAACCTCCGATATAGGAACAACCTCTCCACAAAGGACACTTCCATGCGAATGCATTGTTTGACCTCTGAGATAGGGGCAAAATCGTTGCCCCATAGTGTCCCTTGTTCGGAGTTCCACTGTATTCTTGACTACTAGTTCTGACTTACAAATTTGTGAGACATCTGTGACTTGTGCAGCAGAATGTCCACCCCGGGAGCCAGCTCTACGATGAGGCCATAGTCTCTGACATCCTTCACCACCACAGGATAGATGGCCCCCACCTCAAACTCCTGTCAGTAGCAACACACACATACACATCACATGATGAGGGAAAACGTACTGAGTGTAATAATAGTCTCAGCCAAAACGCAATGCATAAATCCATTTTCCACTCGGCTGCGTTTACAATTATGTCGCATTGCCCTGTCGCGCTGTGCAGTGAAGATCGAAATGGATTCTATCCTCGCGATGCGGCAACGCAGCACGGCACGACGGGGCAATACGACATAGTGTGAACGTAGCCTATATCACCCAATACAGAGTTGAGAACTCACACACACATACAGTACAGTAAGAGTGCTGTTGGTGTGTGTCCCCTCACCTCATTCTCCTCCTCCTCCTGAAGAATGGACTCCACCCTCCCTAGTAGGTCCTCCAGTACCTCTCTGGTGGGGGCAAAGACCGACATCTGGTCCTCACTCACCGTGCGGACCTCTGCCCCCGTCTCCGAGACCAGGGCCCTGATCCTCTTGTTTGATTCTCCTTTCATTTGTACTTCCCACCAGCTTCCTCTCTGTCCCGGAGGTTGTAACAAGGAGGCTGGAGTGTGGTGATTTTTTCTACCCCCTTTTTTTTTTTTTTCCCCTAAATAGTGGGGCCTACTAGCGGAAGAGGGTTTTTTTATTATGGATTTGGGTGAGAGAAGTTTGTATGTTGAAGTTGAGAAGGGTGATA